TCCTTTCAAACCTTTTTTGTCCCTAACTTTCAATTTCACTTTGTCTCAGCCAGCAGTACATGCCGTTCTGAGCTGCAGTGCAACATCAAAAAGGGTCTAAGCTCTAATGATGGACGCCTGCCCGTTTTTTGCGGCGTGTCTTCTGAATACATCGCACTTCAGTCATTTGCTGGCTTCGTTTCAAGCAATCAAGAGCACCAAATGCCAAGACAGAAGCAGCCACGGAACTCATGTCCTTTCAGATTTCTAGTCGATTCTAGGCTAGCCTTGGTTGGTCACTCATCTAGATGGTCAGATCAGGTTGGTTGGCCACTGTGGCCGCTTGGTTTCCTAGTAGATAGTTGGCAAGAGGTCAGAAATGCTGTACTTGAGACTTTGAAGGGGTATTCGGAATTACTCGCCAGCTTGATTGCTTAGTCTTTGTTTCAAGGCGGGGCGCACGAGATTCAAGCAAATCCCCTTGTCAGCGCTAGCGCGGCGCTAGCTTTTTGAGTGGAGAATTTTGTGCTGTTTTCAAGAAGCCTGTTTGCTCCAGCACATTCTGTATGGTACCAGCATCATGGCCCAGGAGCACGTTGATCATTCCATTGCACAGGTGCTGTGTTGCCATTTTCCTGTCAGCGCTCGCGCTAGCAGCGGGCCCATTGTATGGGCCATGCCCCGTTGGATCAACATCCCAAGCCGCATCAGCCTGTAGACTCCGCCATCCCCAAGGCCACTATTCTTGCATAGAAACTCGCAAGATATGAGAGAGAGAGAGAGAGCTTGCGCCCTTCAGGGTGAAGCGTTCAAGACAACGACGCATCGTTGGAGCAACGAGCAGCTAGTGACATTAATAGCAACAGTAGCAGCTCAAGCTCTTCTAGCTCCGGCTGAAAAAGCCGCGCACTCGCGCGCCTGCCACATAATCTGCACTTGTGCTCTTAGAAGCAATCTAGCCGCAATGAAATTGAAACATAAGCCCGCTATGACACGGGCCGCATGGAAGCGATCATCTCCAACGACTTGAGAAACAACATTTTGACAGCCAGAGCTTGTTAAATATTGCACCTGGCAGTATTCCTCACTGCGGTGAAATATTCCTGCTGCTAACCATTTCTCATCTCCTGAGCACCACTCGCCATGTCTTGAGCATAACGACCACATCTCGTTGCGACTGACAACGGCCGCGAAGAACTATTGACATCCATTGATCAGAAATCACCTCTTTGTTGGAATCGCTTGCCACAGCTACTACACTACTAGTGATCACCACGAATTGATACTCATAGCTGCGAGTGATACAGCCCACGAATTATCGGTCGCCCCTAAAGAGAACACTCCATTTCGAATACGATGATTCGCGGCGAAAACATTCACTGCTCTCACTGCTCTGACTGCTTGTCCCTGCTGAAAGCATCGAAGGGGCAGGCATCGACGCGCGTTGTATGAAAGTGACAGTATGTCAAACAGATTGGACGAATGGCTTAACAACTGGGCAAAAATAGTTTGCGCTCCTCTTGTCTGTGTTTGGACTGGTGTATGCCTGACAAGCTGTCAAGGAAGACCACATGGGATCCTTTGCATGCTGAGGCCATGGCTTTGCTGAAGCTTAAAACTGAGCTGGAGAATGCTTTAGCTGGAGCCTCAAGCCTGCCTTGCACTTTCTCCCTGATCAGGCACATTTGTGAGTGCCCCACATCTCTGCTGAGTTGCTTGCACGGTGCTTTGTCTCTTATTGAAGTTGATCAAGAAATACACAAAAGTCAAAATGCGTCTCACCAACTGCGAGACCAGCCCGCGCACAAGCACACACATACACACCTTCAATCCAGGGCGAGCTCCGCCTCGAGCCCGAGGACAGGAACAGATGCGAAGTGGGCACAATGGCGATTCATGAGAAGAGAATCCTCAAGCCTGCCAAAACTAAGAGGTGTTCAGGAGAAAACTGCCCATCAAGGCAATTTTGATTCAAGGGGGTCGGGGGAAGGTGAAAGTATGTGGAGTGATTTGAAGCCGTACTTGTGCAACTTGGTTACGGGCAGGGAATTGACCACAGCAATCCAAGGTCATGATTGCCATTTCCTTCACAGCCTCAAATACTCAAGCAGCCTTCCGCAAGGGTTGGCCAGGGTGTCAATCGTTTGCACTTTTCACATCAAGTTGTCCCTCTAGATCCGTTGTAACGGCCAGTTTGACCAAGTTACAAGCTTGTCGAGGAAACCATGGAAAGCACAGAAGCCCAGTCGTGCGGACCTCATGAAGATGTCCATTGCACTCCGAAGTCCTGGAACAAAGTTAACACGCTCACAATGCAAATCGATGGCCGAGGTCTAGCGCGCCCAGCGGGTCAAGCAGACCCGATGAGCCTACAGGCGGCAAGGCCATGGCAGATGTATGGAGAGTGTGGAGTGTCGGAAAGTGCTTGATATCCACTCCACACTTGGCCTTCGCCAGGGAGCAATGTGGAACACCCGAATGCCTTCGGTCGCGAACTTGGTGTTTCGACTTGTCAGGCAATTGAGGTCCCATGGCGGTTTCGTTTGTGAGCTGCGGCTTGGTCGCATGGCCATGTGTTTTGCTGCGCCACAGTCAGGTCGGATATTGCAGCACTGCTGCAACGACGCCATCAGCTAGTGTTTGGGCCTGACTGCTGTGATCACACTGGCTTTCGTGTTATGCTAGGTTGTTTGTTGACACTGCTCCTGTATATGTGGACCCAGGCAGCTGCATCCGTTGTGCCATCCACACCTCAAGAAGGCAGAAGTGGCGAGTTGACACCCCGGAATGCCCAGGAGATTCAGCATGTCGCGTTTCGTATCGCTGCTTATCCACTGCATCGCTTTGCAAATCATGCTTTGTGTTCACCAGTTGCGTGCTCTTTCTTGCATCCTATGCCATAGCCGTGCAAATTTGACTGCCAAGGAGCGCTCAGCTGAGCTCCTGAGCGCACCTACGCAGCACGGTCTGCTTCCGGGAGGCCGCGTAAAGCCGATCCAAGCCCACGCCTTTCCGAATGTTCCATGCGGATTCCATGCCATTTCGCGCAGCTCGATCCGACTTTGCACGAGAGGCGTTGGTCATTTTCGACTCGGTACAAGCTGCCTGCAATCCACGAAGGGGTGAGTGGCTCAACACGGCATAGACTGCTGCATGCTGTGGCAGCACATCCGTTGCTAGGCCCCTGAGAGCCTTGCCTATGCAGCAAAGGATCCAAGAGGCCGAGGTGGGACGTACACGTGCATGCGCTGCAGCGCTGCCCGGCCAAGCTTTCTCAGGCTGCTGAGGCCAAGTTGAAGGCTGACTTGGATGGTCTTGGAGCGCTCAGAGAGTCTGGCAAGGCAAGGCTCGCTCCGCAGCATTGCAAAATGCACATTGCTGCAAATGGTACAGTCAGCATGTCCTGCTCATAGGCAGAACTCGCCAAGCTATTTCTCACATTCAAGTATGAGCAAGATCACTGTGTGTGTGTTTGCGGAAATTATGCCAAGACTGGAAGGTTACTCGATTTTAGTCATTCAATATGGGTGTGGCTCAAAATTTAAGAGCCAGGGTTACGCGGGTTTTAGTCTTTGGTTCCAGACAAGCTATCCGAAGAAGATAATTGTTGATTGCGGAACTTTTTGGTAAGACACGACCCACGTTTGTACAAGGCTCAATAGTTCAAAACCACGACCCCCTCGCGGGGTTGGTACCTTGTTTTTTCGACTAGTGGTTTCTTTCTATTGGCAAAACCAACACAAGCGCAATACACAGGCACAGTATGGGCAATTAATTTGGGTATGCGCCCATATGTGTACATGCGCACTTGTGTATGTTTGTATCGAGTATGTGAGTATGTGAGTATTGTCAAAATGGAAGTGCATAGCAGTGCATTACATCCTTTCCTTTTGCCACGACAACATCAACATCTACAACTGCAAGCAGGAAACATCGCAACATATGCACAGAACAGATCCCTTGCGTTGAATACCACATTCAACAGGCTTCAAGCACTCACATCCAGCGACAGCAACAATAGGAGCTACATGGTACAACAGAGGCAGGCAGAGAAATGAGGAAAAGGACATCAATATCAAAGGACAAGGTGCCACAATAGACAACAAGGAGGTAAAGGATGAAAAGAAACTCATGCAACCTATGTTTGCTACAGATGCAAACAGACAACCAGGACACGTGACTAAGCAATGAAGAGTGGCGATTTGCAACTGCAACACTAGCAGCTTCAACACCAATGACCAGACAGATGACTGGCACAACAGCTAGCACTTCCACAGCGGTCAGATTCAGCAGCCACAGTACCCATGTCAGGACTACAAGAAGTAGTAGTTGCTATGATTCGCACAGCATTGCGCCACAACTAAACGTGAACATTGGATCAATGAATGCCACCGGCTACCGAGGCGCTCTTTTCAGGATCCAAGACTAAACAGCTCCAAAAACTGACACGGGCATCCGGGACTGTTGCAAGTGTAGTGGATACAACATGCTCTGCAGTGAAAACATCTTTGGTGCTGCGCTTCACACGCAGGTGCATTACTTGAGTTTTAACGCGTGGGTATACATATACCTATATATATATATTAAGATGGGCAAGCATGTTTGTGCTTGCCTTTTGTGTTTGGTGAGTTGTGCCATTGTTGCGGCAGTTTGCCTCTTGATCGATTTGCCTTGGATTCACCCACTTGCTGCCATTTGTTCAGGTCTAAAATGTTGCCTTCTGTGAAAAAGCAAAATCCGGTGCTGCCATCACGCCTATGCACACGCAGGACCAGGCGGAAAGCGTTCTGGACGCTTTGTCCTTGGCAACAGCTTCGCTGCAAGCAAGAGGTATACCAGGCTTGGTTCTCGTTTGGTTCATGTCAATCAACACAAACTTGGCATGAAATCAGAGGAATTCAATTTCACGTGAGTAGAGGTACGCAAGTACAATTTCCCTCAGGTGCTTCATCCAGCTCGTCTTGACCGGTTTTCTGGCCCTACGATTGAGGTATGAACCTTTGGACAATGAGGGCCCTGTCCCGTTGACCAGTGACCAGTGCCAATGCTGCATGGGTATCTTTAGCACGCCACATTCTCTTGGCGCATCTTGGCCTAGTGCTGTCAAGCCGATTGTTCGTTCTGGCTGGCAGCTTGTAACGAGGAGAGAAGTCAGTTTGCAAATGCGCTGTAGCCTTGAAAAGCGCGGCAAGTGTGCAAGTTGGCTGAGCAGGGACATTTTTTGCCTGCCCAGCAGCAAAGCCTGTACGCAGCAGGCATCGCCAGTCCATTCATACAAGTGTCGGCACTGTGCCTGATAGTGGTTCTTCCTTTGAAATTGAACTGATTGGATGTCGAGTGCAGAGTTTCAACCGCTTAATTCAAGAGCATGCAGCAGGCATCAGCAGGCACACCAAAATTGTAATTAAACCTTCAAAGCGCTGCATGCTCTGCACAATAAACACGCCTTCCATGGAGAGTGCAATATTGTTGCAGCGCTTGTTATAATGACTTGAACAAATATGCGAATTATATATAAAATTGCTTAGATTTAGTCCAAGTCGTGCATGTTATTTTTAAGAAAAGGAAAGGGAATTATATATATATATTTTGAAATATAGTCATTGAATTATAGTTATTTATATATATGATATATATATATAAGGATTTACCTCTATCGATAAATTGCATGTTTTTTTTACACGGGTAAGGAGGGGTTGTGTAGGTTTTCCGACTCGGTAACATTTACCCTAATTGTGCGGAATGTTTACCTTTAATTTTGTAGGTTATTTACCCTTAATTTTGTTTAATTTTGTTGGTAATTTATCCTTAATTTTATTGATTACTTGTTTTTAATTTTATTGGTAATTTACATCTAATTGTGTGGGTTATTTATGCTTAATTTTGTTGGTAATATATTATTAATTTTGTTGGTAGTTTATTTATAATTTTGTGGTAATTTATCCTAAGTTTGGGACTCGTTATTAACTCCCAATATTGTAATTTTTGGGGTTAATAACGAATCCAAAAATTGGGGGTATATTTTAGGGTGTTCTAACGATATATGAAGATTTACCCTCTAATTATTGGATTCGTTATTAATCCCGAAATTTCCAAGATTGGGGGTTAATAATCACAAAATTGGGGGCAAATTATCCATACGATTGGGGGTAAATAATCCACATAATTGTGGGTAAATTATCGATAAAATTGGTGGTAAATAATTAACAAAATGGGGGGTAAAAAATTAACAAAATTGGACAAAATCGGTGCTAAATAATCCACAAAATTGGATGTAAATTACCGACAAAATCAGGGGGTAAATAACCAACAAAACTAGGGGTAAATAACCAACAAAATTGGGGGTAAATAACCCATATAATTGGGGTGAAATTTGAGGTAAATTGGTGGTAAAGAGTTATTGCTATAGGCAAGGCCTAATACAAATATATAGGATATGAATTGTTGTTGTTTTAAAATTATACGTTCGATTTAATATTGTTAAACATGTGGTTAAAAATGTATTTATTTTATATTATTTGGGTTTTATATATATATATATAGGTTGTTGTTGGTTGTTTGTTTGGTTGGTTGTTTAGTTGTTTGATGTTTGTTGTTGTTGATATTATTGTTGTTGTTGTTGTCGTCGTTGTTTTTGTTGTTGTTGGTTGTGGTGGTTGTTGTTGTGTAAAAGAAGAATGTAAGTTTATGTTTGATTTTTTGTTGATATAATTATATATATATATATTATATGATTAATTCTTTAATTAGATTTTTTATTTGAATTGTTATATCTATATTTTATTGACAAAAATATGTTATTTGGAAACATATTTTAAGATATGTTATGTTGTATTATAATATATAAATATTTGTTAATAAATTGATATGGTTTTGGGGTTATATTGTAAATAAAATATTTATGGAGTTGTTGGTAATAATTATAATATTATATATTTTGTATTAATTGATACTTATTGATTTTTTAAATAATAAAATTTAGAAAATAGATTGATTATTTTGTTTGCAAATAATAATATTGGTTTTATATTTTTGACTTAATTAATAGGGATATAGAGATAATGTTTTTTATAATATAATGTTTTTTGTTTTTTTCTTTGGTTCCTTTATTTGTTTTTTTTGGGGGGTGTTTGTTTTACTCTTATTTGAATTCGATTGAATGATTTGATTAAACACTTTGAATTATATGTTTGTTTCGATGCGATTTTGGTGAAAAAGGGTAGATTTCCTAATTAAAGATTTGATTTGTTTCTGGGTTTGGGAAGAAATTCTTCTTTTTTGTTACCATTTGTTTTTGGGGCGATCGCCATAGAGGGACAGGGAAGAGGTATCATCACCCTCATCATCATCCTCCCTCATCATCATCATCATCATTCTTCATCATAACCATCAACATCGTCACCGTCATCATCGTCATCATTCATCATCAGCATCGTCGTCATCCTCATCATTATCATCATCATCATTCATCAGCATTATCATCTTCATCGTCGCATCACCAGCAGCATTATCCATAATCATCATCACTTTCATCATCATCATCAGCATCATCATCATCACATTCAGAATCATCATCGGCATCATCATCGTCACCCTCATCATCATCATCACCGTCGTCATCATCATCATCATTCTTTATCATAATCATCAGCGTCGTCACCTGTCACCGTCATCATCGTCATCATTCATCATCATCATCATCATCGTCGTCATCCTCATCATTATCATCATCATCATTCATCATCAGCAACATTATCCATCATCATCATCACTATCATCATCATCATCAACGTCGTCATCCTCATCATTACCATCATCATCATTCATCATCAGCAGCATTATCCATCATCGTCGTCATCCTCATCATTACCATCATCATCATTCATCATCAGCAGCGTCATCCATCAACATCATCACTATCATCATCATCATCAGCGGCATCATCATCATCCTCATCATCCATCATCATCATCAGCATCATCATCATCATCGTTCATCCTCAGCATCATCGTCATCAGCATTATCATCATCTTCATCCACCATTATCATCATCACCATCAGCATTATCATCATCATCTTCAAGTTTGCGCTTGGTAGTTCAAGGTTACTGCTGATAAAGTTTGAACCAATCACGGAGCCTGCTGGACCCGGGCAATACGAATCAAAAATGGAGGAAACAGAATCTTCATCATCACCTCATCATCAGCATCATCAGCATCAGCATCATCATCATCCATCATCATCGTCGTCGTCATCATTACCATCATCATCATCGTCATCATCATCGTCATCATTACCATCATCATCATCATTATGATGACGATGATGCTGATGATAATGTAGAGATGAGATGATCATGATGATGATAGTGATGATGCTGATGACGGATGATGATGATGATGATGTTGATGCTGATATAGATGATGATGATGATGATGCCGATGATAATGATGGATGAGGAGGATGATACGGCCACAAGTTAGTCTGATCTTCTACAAGTTAATTTGACCCCCCCCTTATAAGCCAATCTGATGTTGCACAAATCTTTTTGATGCTTCTGCAAGTGAACAAGTTAATTTGATTCCTCTAGGCTTAGATGGTATCGTTTATGCAAGTGATTACTGAATTGAATGAGGATAGTGGATCGCGGCTCAGATGATGCTATGGCAACGATGCTGATCGGGTGGAATTCTGTTTTATTTCTGTTTCGGGCACGTAGTGATTAGCTTTGATCCGCATGATTAGGAGAGCCGTAACCAAGGGGCTCGAGTGGAGGGACCGTTCGCCAGGTGCGCGCGATCCACCAGGCTTGGTTCACGGCCAGTGTGACTCACATCGTGGATGAGACGGGCCTCGGTCTATTTTGTGGGCGTGCTGGAAGAGGAAATTTCCACATCATCGCCAGCTTACCGCTGTTCAAGCAGGATGCAAAGATCGTGAATCAGAAAGTGCTGACTCGAACCTATGGGCCCTCCAGCGATCACCAAGAATGCCTGCAACAGGGCAGCCGAAGAGGTTAGGCGTACTTAGGCTTCAAGTTCTGAAGGCCAGACCATTGTCGGGCCTGACCCGGTGTTTGTCTCGGTGGCTGGTGAGAACGGGCATATGGTAAGCGATTGGAAGGTGGTTCCACCACTCAGATCATTCCGGTATTGTTCGCTCAAGCGGATCAACTGGCTCGCATGCAGCGGAAAGTTTGCCAGAAGGGCCCAGCCGAGTTCGGCCCCTAACCCGTTGGGACCAAGCCAGTAGGAGCCTAATCAGGCGCAGGACTGTCGCGCAGCTTTAGAGCAGTTATTCGTGCCGTTTCCATAACATTTCATTAATTTTTCTCCTAGTCAGACGGGCTGGATTCCGGTTTGGTATTTCTCCCCCTGTTCTTTTGGGGGGGGTGGTTGGCCCTTGTTCTAAGGCTGATTTCCATCGATGAAGGTGTTGGGTGGAGTGGGGGCCTTTCGATTGGATGCTGGATCGAAGCCTTGTCTGGCGGCTTCTCGTGATCTCTTAACATTCCCCACCCAATGCAAAAGAGGCCGGGCTCCCTTTTTGGAGGGGGCTTCCCGTCGTGATCCGCTGCAGGTTAAGCCCCTGTCGATAGGGGCCTAAGAGAGATCGAAAGGAGCTGGAGATCTTGCGCTTTTCCAGGTTGTCCTCAGAAGACAGACCGAGCGCCCGATCGAGGTCTTATATGTCGGTTCTGGAAACGTGCCGATCGCGCTGCTTTGGGGACCCTTGTGAAAGTGTTTTGGCCCCTTTCTCTTTCCCCCCTTTCTGGTTTTCGTTTAACATTTCCAATCGCCGATTTTTCGGGGTTTGAGGTGAAGCGTTACTTCGATTTCAAAATCCAAATTTCTTTAATGATGGATCTCGTGATTGCTTGGATGAGTTGAGTGTATGACCATACTGCAGATTTTCAGTTGAAGCATCCCTCATGGATCGCTCAATTCGCCCTTCCTTTGTTCGAGCAGCCTTTCCGTGATGCCCTGGGATTAGTGGCCATGGACCAGTCTGAAAGATGCTGGCGATCGATGGGGACGAGCCGTGGGAGCAGGGTGCTAAACTCATTCAGCTGCTTCCGGCCATGGACGCGGAAGCTGAGGAGGTGCTGGCTCAGCGTCTACACATGATCGACACCCTGTTTGCATTGATCAAGGCGTCCAGGAGTGTTATCGTTGCCCAGATTGCTGTTGATTTGGATTTCGGTGCCGATTCGGGAAGCGCCCGCGCCAGACCCAAGGGCAGACTAGCAGGTTTCACGCCTTTGGCCATTGAAGGCTTCGCGATCAAGAAGCCAAAGGTCACTTTGAGCGAACAGGACCCAGTGTCCTCCCTCAAGGCTGAGGGATGCGAAAGTGGGCTGCCAGATTGGAAGCCATCGCAGTCCGGGCAGGTGATGGGTCGGCGATGAATGTCCGCCGGCCTGGCTCGGCACTTTTGGAATGTGATAGCCTGGAGCTGCAAGCATTGGTCTTCGCCTCGGGGGCCTTCCAATCGGTTAGGTGCCATGTGCGACACTGGGAGCGATTGGAGTCATGGGCGCAGGCGCATGCAGCCCGGATCTATCCCCTCAGCTGTGGAATTGGCCTATGTAGGACAGGTGGTGGAAACTGAAGAACTTGAGAATCTCACCGATACCATTGCCAAGCTGACCTGGCACTCTCCTCGTGTAACCTTTCTGGATGCGGCTGTTCACCATGGGGCAGCCGATCGGACATAGGTCTGCAAGCCAATTGGAAAGACCCATCTCAGCTCGTTCTCAAGCACGCTCGGCGTCGGAAGCAGATCTCCATGAAAATGGTGCGGGAGTTGGCTCATGACCTTAAAGCTCAGCGGTCGTCCAAGACATCGTTCGAGATCGACGAAGACGACCATGCTTCCGACACCACGTTTCTGGAGTTCTAGATGAAGAACACCAAAAAGGTCAAGAAGTTGGTGAATGCCGAGTTGAAGTATCATGCCGTCCTCAGGATCGACGGGGCCGAGCCTGAAGAATTGTTGCGCGGTAGATGGTGCCTCGACCTGTGTTGGGCAGAATAGCTCTGCTGCAGATGTAAGGCAAAGATTCCCGCTTCCTTTTTGAAGGACCTGGGCCTCTGATTTGGTTCGGTCTGGTTAAGAATGTGAAGTTGGTGAATCGTATTCTGCGCCACCCATCCGGATTCGTTCTAGTTGATAATCTAAATGCAAGATTCTGGTCCCAATCCCCCTTCTAGCTTGTGTTCATTGCATCGACACGTGCCATGGTCGATCGCACACACTACGTGTCAGAAGACAAGATGCCCAAGCTGGCTTTGCGCCAGATTTTCGGGCGCCAACAGCTCAGCGAGCACCTCTGTTTGGCGGCAACAGAAATGGGGTTGTTGTCGATCGACACCTTTGCGATACTGGGCGACTCGTTGACCACGGCCAAGGACATCTTGAAGCGCCTCTGGCCGGATTTGACCGCTTTGGGTCCTGATCCCCCAAGGCAAGAGATCGCTTTGATGTCTTTGGCCGCAGTGTGGCAAGCCGCCTCAGCTTTGCAAAGTATGCGGCCAGGCGGGCTCGCGTGGAGGAAGATCCTTTGAAGGTTCCCGAAACGCCACAAGAAGATTACGTAGATTTCCGTGCTCGCTTTGTGGACGCCCACCCCGACGTTATCTTGATCGATGCACAGAAAATTTATGGAGCGCCCTTCTATGAATTTGCGGAGATCCGCACTTGGGCCGTGCAGAGATCAGGTCTAACGCGCAACGCAGAGGACTTGTTGACAATCTCCAAGGCTGACGAGCCCGACCAGGTTACAGACATGAGCCATGTTTTCCATCGGTTGCATGCGTTCGTCATGTCGTTGGAGTTCCTCAACATCTATAAGTACTCCTTGCAAGCGGGCACCCTTCAGTTCAAGCAGCGTGCCGATCTGGCGGCTTGTTAGGAGCAACGCGCGTTGCAGCTAGTTCCCTTTTCAGACCGGATCCTGTCCCATATTCCAGACCGCCCGTTGCGGCAGCTGCTGCGAGGAGTTCCTGATGATCAGCCAGTGCAGATGGGCTCCTTTTTCCATCTGCCTGTGGCGGGAAATGGTCTCAGCATGTGGGGCTGCGGACGCCAGCTTGCCGGATGAGATTCTGGCCGGGCTGCGGATCGTCGGCCCGATTGCCAAGTCCGGCCGCTGGCCGTCTTTCGACAAGCCGCAGCCCCTGTTGCTAACAATTGATTAATTGGAGTAGAGGGCATAGGAGTTCCGCGCAAAAGTAATGAGCAACATCCGGAAGACCGTGATCACTGTTCATTCTGCCGAGGACTGGAAAGCCTCACTGAAGGATGTTGAGGAGGGCTCGGCCTTGGGCCCGTTCTTTGCTTATGAGGAAGTAGACAGAGTGATTAATTGCCATGACTGGATCCCGACGCAGAGGAAGAACAAGGTGAGGGGTTACGACTCGGCCACGATCAATGGGATTAACCTCGCAACCGAGATCACTAAGAAGCTCCAACTACCGTCCACGGATTCCAATGTGGCGGTCATTCGTATGTTGAGATAGAAGATCCGTGGGCCGCTCGGCGCCTGGGTTCTTGATAAGAGAAGGGCCTACAGGCAAATTCCGATCAGGCCTGAGCATCGAAAATTCAGTGTGATCGTGCTGAGACACCCTACATCGGCGCGGGTTGGCTTCTTTGTGACGATTGGCCACTCTTTCGGGCTGGTGTCGGCAGTCTATAATCACAATAGACGTTCAGTTTTGATTACGGACGTGCTCCGGGGCCTCTTCGGAATTTTGGCTTTCAATTTCTATGACGACAAGTTTGGGTTTGAAGGGGCGGAGACAATCGAGTCCGCCTTTCTGCTAGTCCAGAAGGTACACTGGTGGTTGGGCGCTCGTTTCGATTAAGAGAAGCTTCAGTTCTCTGGACAGCCGGTGATTTTAGGGGTCACCTACGATCTTGAGGGCCGCATTTTGAAAATCAAGCAAGATCGCAAGGACGAGTTGCTTGATGAAATCAATGCCATCTTGTCGTCTCAGGTCCTTGCTCCAGGATATGCAGGGAAATTCCGTGGCAAGCTCATGTTTGGGGCTTCCCAGCTGTGGGGCAAGGTTGGACGGCGTACTTCAGGGCGCTCGCCGAGAGGCAATACTCTTCATGCAAGGTGAGTAAGGCCTTGATCTTCGCCCTGAAGCAATGGAAGTGGTTGATCGTGCAAGGTCCCCCACGGTCAGGTTCAACCAAGGCCGGCCGAATTTCGTTATCTTCATAGATGGAAGCGCCCCGTCCGGACGCACTGGTGATTGTGAACCGCCTAGGATCGGTGGAGTGTTGTATTCAAAGGCATCCCCCCTGTGCAGTTTACGGCCGAGGTACCTGATGGTGCGATTAGCCGCTGGATCCTAAGGAATCAAGGCAACACCAGATCGCCATGGTTGAGTTACTCGTAGTTGTAGTCGCCCTGGAAACGTTTGCGGAGTCATTGAGGGACAAGTTCGCTCTCTAGCTTGTGTGTGTGGATTCCGAACTAGTTCAAAGCGCCTTGATCAAGGGCTACTCTGGAAAGGATGATGTCTGTGAATTAGTAGAAATGGTTTGGCAGATCTCGCTGAAATTGCGAGTGAACATTTACCTCGATCGAGTTCTAACGGATATGAACCCGTCGGATTTTCCCTCCAGGAATGATCTAGAGACGGGTAACCGGGCCGGTTGGATAACCATTGAGCCCCGGTGGCCTGATGTTGTTTCTCTGTGCGGGCCTGAAAAGTAGCTGGTTGGTTAGCTCTGCCTGATTTCCTGTTCAGTGGGCTGGTGACGGACCTCTGTAGCGGTATCGGAGACCATTACTGGATAGTCTCTCCAGTTCCTGGCCTTATGAGCACTGGGTGCGATCGCGCCATTGCCGCCTAGCGCTAATCTCTTTAGCGGTCCATAGATCTGGGCCCGCGGGGAGTAGCTGGTTGGTTAGCTCTGCCTGATTTCCTGTTTAGTGGGCTGGTAACGGACCCGATTGTGATAGGCCTTTCAGTTTCATTCACTAACTAGTGTGATCCACTCTTTGGTGACGTGCCTAGCCGTGAATCTGTCCTGATTGCTCATTGGACAGGCGCAGAACTGACCGTGATTCTTGTTCAGGCTTACTCACCCACGTCAGAGCCTGTGCAAAAAGAGGGTGCGCGTTTGCGCCCTGGGTATCTGAGAGAAGGAGGGGAGCCGAGCTCTGGATTCAGAGCGGCTTGTTTTGGGATGTGACTAGATATTATATTTTTGAGGATTTGTATATGTTTGCTTTTGTTTAGCAATTGTTAAAAAATTACATAAGATGTATTAGGCTATATAGTATGAATTAGGTTTACTAACATGGATGGTTTTTATAACCGAATGTTTTATCGAACGTTTTGTAATTTTGGCTGTTTTGATAACGTAAGGGCTTTGTTTACGGCTGTTTTCTTTACGCTCCGCCGTCTTTGCCTTAATCATATAGCCCGCCCCTTATTTTGGTGTACCGTGCGCAATAGTCATTGATAAGGCACTTACGGATTGCTGCCAAACAGTGTCGGAACTGCCGACAATTAACTTGTGTCCTCATGTGGTGGTCGCGGGCATATGTTTATTTGAGCGCGTAGTGTTCTTCATGGACGTGTGTCTAATTGAATCCATCTTTCTACTCGCTGACCGGTGCCCCCATACTGTACACAAGCCACACTGCTCAAGTATTGTTATGATACGCTATCCGTAGTTTCCGGCGACCCCTATACTAGTCCCCCCTTCATTATCCAGATATGTCGTGCCGCGTCTGTCGCTAGGGCCCCTCCTCCTAGAAACTAGTGTGGCCTCGGGATCGTGTTTCCCGCCGCTACAATGGTACTCCGGCCGAATCGTTGTCCGCGCCAATCCCGATCCTTTCTCCACGGCGCAAATTCCCGCCTCTTCGTGCGACCCGGCAGTCCCCAAAATCTTGTTAAATTTGGTTTGGAGATGGGGGGCTCTGCGAATTTTCGCTCAGAGCTCTCGTAACATAACCCGGCCAAATTTTCCCGAATATTTAACTCGTTTCTAGCGATCCAACTCTCAAATCTCCAAATGTAACCCCCGTAAAGGCTTTCAAATTTATATATAATCTTCCAAAAAAATAACGATCCAAATATATGAGAAATTTGAGAATTTAATCATTGCAATTAATTCACGCGAACATTTGCCTTATGCTTCATAACGCTAAATCCATATATATATAAGGCTTTATTTCTTTATTTTAAAATTCCCAAAACTATTAAAATCCAATTGTTTTAATATAATTTCATTTTTTTGTATTATTTAATTCTCAATTTTATTGTATGCCTTTACCTAAATCAATATATCCATAAATCTTAATAATTATTTTCTTTCTCTTTTTCCCTTTTCTTTTTTTCTTCTCTTTCTTTTCTTTATTTCTTTTTTTCTTCTCTTTCTTCTTTTTCTCCTCTTTCTTACCTTTCTTCTCTTTCCCTTTTTTTCTTCTCTTTCTTCTCTTTCTTCTCTTTCTTCTCTTTCTTCTCTTTCTTCTCTTTCTTCTCTTTCTTTTCTTTCTTCTCTCTCTCTCTCTCTGCGTCTCTCTTTCTCTTTCTCTCTCTTTTTCTTTCTCTTTCTCTTTCTCTCTCTGTCTCTTTCTTTTTCTCTTTCTTTTTCTCGCTCTCCTCTCTCTCTCCTTCTCTCTCTCGCTCTTTCTCTCTTTCTGCCTTTTTTTTCTTTCTTTGTTTTTTGGTCTTTTTTTTTCATTTTTGGTTTTCTGTTTTGTTCTTTATTTTTCCATGTTTTCTTTTTTTTAGAAAACATATTATTTTCTCTTTCGTTTTTCTTTTTTTTTCATTTTATTTTTTTTCTCTTTTGTTCTCTCGTTCTCTCTCTTTATTCTTTTCCTTCTTTTGCATTCTCTTTCTTCTCTTTTCTCTATTTCCTTTTTTTCTCTTTCTCTCTCCTTTTCTATTTCTCTCTTTTTGCTCTTTCTTTTTTCTCTCTTTTATCCTTCCTTTTCTTCTTTTTTCCTGTTTTTCTCTACTTCTATCTCTGTTTTTCTCTCTTTTTATCTGTTTTCTCGCTCTTCTTATTGTTGTTTTTTCGTTTTTTTGTCTTTCTTTTTTTCTTTTTTTGATGATTTTGTTGGTTTATCGTTTTTTGTATTTGCTTATTTTTATAGGTTTCCTCTCGTATTTTTGCTCGCTTATTTATGCTTCTTTTTGCTTTGTTTCCTCTCTCTTTCTCATTGTATTTTCCTTTTCTTTTTTGTTTTTCCATTATTTGTTTATTTCTTTTTCCTGGTTTTTTTCGAGGTGTTTTCTCCTTTGTTTTTTGTTTTTTGAATGTTTTGTTTTTGTGTTTTTGCATATTTTGGTTTAGTTATTTTTGCCGTTGATGGAATTAATCGGATTTTTTTAATTTTGGGAGAATATTAATTTGTTCGCCGAATAGGTAAGCATAACCTTTATTATTGAGTCTATCGGCTTGTTAACCCGTCAAGCAACTGTTTTAAGATATTAAGGATTAACACAACATTGGCCACGTTAGCAACATGAGGCGTGTGAGCCGGTTGATTTCGACATCCCATTTGGACATTGGTTATTGGATTGTCCCCCAAAAAAAATCAGAACTTCTCTTAGCGTAACACGCAGGTGTCAACTCAGAGAGGTGTCATCAAAAGAGTTACCTAACAAGACCTGGCACAAATATGGGATAGGGTTGTTCAAATCAGCCATATTATCCCCTGTGGCGCGGCAATGGATTTCCCTGCAGCGGCGTCCCGTGACGGATTCTAAATTAAGATGAAGACTCTTCCAATTTGGAACGATCCGTAGATGTTTGGGTCTTTATTCCATGACATAAGTTCTTTTTGTAAGCGCGGCTCGGAAGTTTCCGAATTTTTTTGCTACATTTGAAAGGTGTTTTTTGGATTTTCGCTTCGAGCTCTCGCGACATAAAGCAGACAATTTTGCTTTTCCCGAATTTTGGGTCGCTTCCTCAGAATTCTGGACATTATTTCCGAAAATGACTGCAAAGTTTGGCGGTGCTGTGACACAATTAAAGGGTTAAATTTCCGGGAAATTTGGGGACTTGCTCGATTCGGTTTTTCCGATTTTGTTTTTCATTTTTGTTGATCCTTTTCTCTTTCCTCCTTTTCCTCTTTCTTTTAAGCTCTGTTTTCTTTGTTTTTCTAATTGTTTATCCTTCTTTGTTCTTTCTTTGTTTTTCTCTGGCTCTCTTTCTTTTATTTTTCTTTCTCCTATTTCTTTTTATCTCTCTTTGTCTCTTTCTTTTTGCGCTCTGTCTCTTTGTTATTCTGTGTTTTTGTGTCTTGGTCTTTCGTATGTTTCTATGTTTTTGTCTCTTTGTGGTTGTGTGTTTGTAGCTCTGTTTTTGTGGTTGTGTTTTTGGGTGTTGTGTTTTGTGTTTGTTTGTTTTTTGAATTTTTGGTTTTTTGTTATTCTCTTTTTATCTATTTTTTGTTTTCTTTTATGTTTTGTTTATTTTCATTTATTTGTTTTATTTTTTGGTTTTTCTTATTCTTTGTTTTTGTTCTTGTATGGTT